AAAGCTTCTTTTTTTTCTGAATGACACAGTCCAGCTGTTTCAACTGCAGCTCGACAATGTCTCTAAAAATCCACAAGCCTGCAAAAATGGAGGTAAGAGCATTCAATCATGGACGATTACACGTTTAAGTGACAGAACAGAGACAATTGTTACTTACTTGACAAGAGTTGTAACTTGGGTCAGGAACTCAGAGATAGACTCCTCTGTAGCTAAATCAGATGCCTTGGCTATGAAGAATCATATGCCTGCACTGATTCTCAGCTATGTGATCTGAAATCTGGGGAAGCTGCTGTATGGGGGGGGGGGGGATGAAAGATTCCTTTAGCGAGGCTGACAATTTTATAGAGATTGTCATCCAGAAACAAAAAGAGCAGTTGTCTGCAGAGGTAATTTTTCTTATAGTTAAGCCACACGACTGAGACTAATTAATAAATGCATTTTTCCTAAACAAATACTCTGTATGTGTGCTATTACAGCTTAACAGAATCGATGCGCAAATGATGCGGAGTGTTACTAGGGTGCAGAAATCAGAGGTAAAGCTTGGACCTGTTTCCTCCAATGATGATTAGATAGTACTGTTACTGCTGCTGAAGTCCTACATGCGGGTAAGTATCTGACTCCATGTGCACCAAACTTTAAAGGCATGAGGAAAGTCCAAAAACGAATAAATCTTTTCTTATGTGATACGTTCGGATTTTCTTCATTTACCTTTCTTTTTTTTTTAAATATTTTCTAGCTGATATGATTAGTCAAATACAAGAGTTCATCAATATTTACCTGCTTTTTATTCTCAGATGGCGTATGAACTCCATGGTCTCCTTGCTGGAAATGTCAGCATTGTTACTGGAGAAAACATCAAGCCTTCTTACGTTGGAGATGATGAGGCCTTTCTGCGGAAGGTCATTACACCAATCTACCGAGTAGTTGAAAAGGTAAATGTTTAAATGATAGATTTATGACATCTTAATAATCTTGACCTTGGATACACCATAGTTGTCTTTTCTATGAATTAGGAAGCAAGTACAAATGCCACTGGCAAGGCTGCTCACTCAGATTGGTCCAACTATGATGATCTAAATGAATATTTTTGGTACGTTAAAACTCAAAGTCTGTAAATTGAATCTTAATTTTTTGTGACATTTTGCATATCACTGTTAAATGCGTGATGATGGAGAATTTTTCAAATCAACTCGTGAAATGGCACAGGTAGTACCTTATAGTTTTGTTAGCTGTTTCTATTTCTCCATTGAGCTGATCAGTTTTTTCTACCCACTTTTAATTTCGTTTGCAGGGGAAAAAAGGGTCTTTCAGAAAAGCGAGAAACACATACAAATCAATTTCACCGAGACTCGAACATTTTGGCACATATATCACAGTTTTGACCGACTCTGGACATTCTATTTGTTAGCACTCCAAGTAAGCAATCTGGCACGAGCTATATTCCTTTCCCTTTTCGTTTAAATTGTTTTCTCTATACTACTATATATATTAATATTACTGTTGTTTTCATTTGTTCGTTGACTGATAGAAATGCATATATTTGTTTATAGGTCAGACTGTGCATCTCTGGGACACGACATCTTCTTACGGAGATGAGCTAAGCCGCAACCCCAATTGGTTTCGTTTGACTACCAAAAACTAATAAAATCGAAAAGGTAATTTTGCTCCTTTGCACATGTAATAATTTCAGATACCTTTGCAACGCTGATGCTAGGGTAGGATTGTGTATTCTTAATCTTTTTTGCTCCTTAAATGTTATCTTAAATGTATGCGTTTTTCATAACTTTTATTATTATTTTTAGTTTTGGTCCCAATTGTATAAACTATCAAATTCCGAAAAGAAATGTTTATATTTACATTAGCTACATTTACTCTCAATTTTAAAAATTAAATAGATAGTTGTAATTAACTAATCTAGACTTACATTTAGATTTGAGGTATATTGTTTTGAAAGATGAGATATAGGATTTTAATAAATATATAAATAAATATTTACCTTTTAAAAAAATAAAAAAAGTTAAAAAAAAAAATTGAATTTGAAAATTAAAATTTTGAAAAAACATTAAAATGAAAATTCGAAATAAAGAAAATTTGAAAAATAGTAAATTTGAAAAAAAAATATAAAAAGTTCTAATTTGAAAATGTATAATTCAATAACTTTATAATAAAACAAAATTCAACATTACACCAACTACTAAATATGCAGAGTACATGGCAAAGAAGAACAACATGTGTTTCCCATCTTTTGGTGTGTTAGTTATGGTAATCATTTTTAGAGTTTAAATCTTAATTTTATTTTAAAAATAATAGAAAATAAGTGGCAAAGGAAAAAAAAATCATTTTCCAAATAATAAATTGAAAATCCTATAAAAATACTTCAACTAAATTTCTAATGATTTTTAATACCCAAACTTATTTGATATCCGTTTAATATTTCAACTAATTATTTTGCTTATTTTAATATATGTGCTCATTTTACTACCCAATCTATGCTCATTTTAATCAAAAATTTAAATAAATTCCAAACAAAACTTAAATAAAACTTTGAAATAAAAATAAATCTGAAAATTTTAAAATATAATTTCAGGTTTATGCATAAAGTAACTAAGTTGTGGATAAAATATTAAAATTTAGAAATTATTTAAATTAATTAATTAATTAATTAATTTTAAACTTCAGAAAAAAAAAATTAAATGTAAAATAAAACTAATAATATAGTTTAAAATATTATCCACAGTTTATATACTTTATTCCTATAAATTAAAATAATAATAGAACTTTTAAGATTTATTGTGATCAATTTTGAAGATTTTGAAATTTTCATTCAAACTTATAAATAATCTTGGTATTAAAATGAGTACAGTTTTAAAATTAACTGTATTAAAATGAATAAATAAATATTTTTCTTATGAAATTGGATAATAAAAAGTTTAGGGGTTAAAAAACTTAATGATATTTAGTTGATGTATTTTCATGGATTTTTATCAATAATTAATTACTAAAAATACATATAGTTTAATAATTAAATATAAATTCAAACAATTCAATGGACATAATTGTAAAAAAAAAACATTTTGTAAAGAAATAAAATATTAAAATACATAATCCGCGCGTAGCGCGGAGAAAGGATCTAGTTTATTTAAAATCCAAAAAACAAATAAGTTTGTAACTAAAATGACACATGGCATATTCTCATACATTTATTTAATGATATGACATTCTCAAAAAAAGAGAAACGTCTTCTTTATATAATAAAATATATCTATAAGTGTTTGTTATTATTAGAACCGCACCACAATTATTCCTTATGTTATCATTTGGACTCTTAATCCAGAAAAATATATTGTTTTCGGTTTTGTGAAGGGAAAATTGCATAAAAAATCATGAAGTTGACAAAAATTTACACTTTAAACCTTGAGGCTCAACTGCTAACACTTTAAACAATGAAACTTGTAACAATAAGATATTAAACATCGAACTAACTTACTTGTTGCACACGTCAAAATTGTGACATTTTACTGTTCACTAGCAGGTAAAAAGCGGTGAGATGGCGATTTAGCTAAAAAAAATTAATAAAAACAAATACAATTAGATAAAAAATCAATATAATTTCTAAAATTTGATATAAATTCAGGAAAAAATAAATAAAATAAATAAAAATTCAGAAATTTTTTAACATAAAAATAAATTTATAAATTTAAAAGTTTATAATAAAAATAAAAATAAATATTAAAAGTTTATTAAAACTAACAAAATAGTAAACTAATAAAAAGAAAAAATAAAATAAAAAGAAAGTGTAAAAATTGATAAAAGCGTTTTATTTATAAGTGTTCAGATGTCGGGATTCAGATCCTTCAGATCCTAGAGATTTGGATTCAAAACTTTTGCCAATTCCATGGGTTTTTGCCAATTTTTCCACTCTCATGGTTTTCTTTTTTTTCCAGATTATTTTTCTTAATTTTTAATCAATTTGTATATTTTATTTTTGTTATTATTATTATTTTCTAGCATTCATAAAATTATTTTTTCTTGATGTTTATTAGTTTTCAATTTCGGTATTTTAATTTTTTTGAATTTTTATTTTCAATAATTTGATTAAATTTTCCTAATTTTTATCGATCCTTTTGAAATTTTTATTTTTATTTTATTTTATTTTTGAAGTTTAATTTTTTCCAAATTTTATAAATTTCCTGTTTTCTAATTTTTATCGATTTTTACACTTTTTAATTTTGTATTTTATCTTTTTATTATTTTTACTATTTTGTTAGTTTTAATCAACTTTTACTATTTATTTTTATTATAAACTTTTGAATTTATAAATTTATTTTTATTCTCTTAATTGCTTAATTTATTTATTTTTTCTGAATTTATATCAATTTTTTAAATTTATTTATTTTTATCTAATTTTATTTGTTTTTATTATTATTTTAAAAATAAACCGCCACATCACCATTTTTTACCTGCTAGTGAATAGTAACAGGTCACAATTTTTACGTGTACAACAAGTAAGTTAGTTCGATGTTTAATATGTTATTGTTACAAGTTTCATTGTTTAAAGTGTTAGCAGTTGAACCTCAAAGTTTAAATTGCAAACTTTTGCCAACTTCATCATTTTTTATGCAATTTTTCAGTTTTGTGAATGAGGAAAGACCAACGAAATATTTCAAGTACAGGTCTTTAGAATTCTTTTTGGGGTCAACACGGAGCCGGACTTGCATTTTTGAGGGCCCCATTCTGAAAATTTTAATTATTTAACTAGATTTTGATCCGTGCTTTAAAGCGCAGAAATTTTTTATGATTAAAAATTTATATAATTGGGTTTTGTCTTAATTTAACTAATGTTTTGGTATAAAATTAGTTTACCAAAATTTGTGGTGATAGTTGTTTTCATTAGTTTTTAGTTTCAGTTTTTATTTTTAGGTTTTGTTTTAAATTTTGGTTTTTAATTTTTAAGTTTCTATTTTTTATTTTCAGCTTTTGGTTTGGGTTTTTAATTTTTAGATCCGCTGAGTTAGTTTGAACTGATATTACCAACAAACAAATCTCAATTAATCGAACATGTAATTTAAAACTGAAAAGATGAAAAAATAATTTTCTAAAAATTTTGAAATAGTTTATTTTGTAAATAAAAAAAACAAAAAAAATAACTTGCGTTTTCAGCTTTTGGTTTTGGATTTTAGCTTTTAGATTTGGTTTTTGGTTTTTCTTTACATTTTTTTTTAAATCTGTAAATTATTTAAGAAAAATAAAAAATTAAATTATTTAAAAGTTACCATTAAAATTTATCAAGATAGAGTGATTGTTATTTAAAATAAAAAATATTAACATGTTTTAAGGTACATGATTTAAATAAGTGATTAATAATAGATAATTTTGTTTTGTTATAAATATTAAATATTTTTGGGCTAAAAAAATATTAACATATTTAAAAGTACATGATTTAAATAAGTGATTAATAATAGATAATTTTGTTTTCTTGAAAATATTAAATATTTTTGGGCCTGAAAATAGTAATTGATTTTTGATCCATTAAGGTGGAAAGTTTATTTAATGTTTTTGGAGTTTTTCTTTAATACTAAGCCCAAAAACCAAACAATTAAATGTCATAAAAACAAAAGTAAGCCAAAAACTCTATTCCATAAATAACCGCCGGTTTAATTTAAGTAATGCGGTTCAATCAACTATATAACTTGTATTATTTGTAACACTCTAGAAAATGTCCAAATTTAAGTTATAACTTGTATCAGTAGATAAAAAGAATGACTCTATTTTAACAGAGTAGATTTTTGGGTTAAATGTATTATTTTCTAAATCCTAACAATTTAAACACTCACACCACACATCTAATATTTTATTCTCAAAAATATAACATAATATTTATTCACTTTTGGGCTTATTTGCCATATAGGCAAGAAAAAAAAAATTTGTAGAGAAATAAGAGGAGAAAGTAGGAGTGAGGAGATACTTTTGGATAGTTAGTGTATTTGTGTCTTTTGTTGATATATATGACCAAATTTCCCATATTTTTTCACCTTGGAGAAACAAACAATACTTAAAAGTTGCATTTAATCACAAGATCACATCCTTTGTTTCATTCATCATCAGCAACGACGTGTGGATTGCTTCAGGCCCTAATGATCTTCATCGAATGATATATCTATCATAGCAAGTCAACTAAGAGATAAATTTTGTCTATACATATTAGTGTTCTTGGGAGAGTGTGGATGTTTGTCTCTCTCAAGGACATATACACATCAGCTGTATTTAGGTTGACAAGGAAGGATATTCATCATCTAAAGAGTAGTTGTCAGCATCCAACTGCGTGGAAGTATCATTACAAAACATGGGTTTTTAATAGTGCGACCGGGTTAAGACCATGTTTACAATATGTTATTTTATTAGTATCTTTTGCCTGCTTCAATATGTATAATACGATAGCTTCAACTTATACTATTGTTTCACGGTAGCCCCATGCAGCAGACGCGGTTGTCTACTCTTGACTCAAATTGAGATCTATGAGTTAAAATATTGTCTCAAAATGGGAATGGAATATTTTTGAAAATCAAACCTCGTGAAGCTTGTTATATTAAGTCTCAAAAAACAACAATATTAATAAGCTCACGTTTTTCTATGTTCATTTTTTTTATCCGGCTTGAAAGGTTATAAGATGCACTGTTTTGAGGTGAAAGAAGATATGCACATTAGATCCAAAACTCTCTGTTTCATCATCAGCAATGGCTCGTTCGCTGCTTCAGATCCTAATCATCTCTTCTTTTCATCTGATCTCTTTATCAAGTCAACAAGAAACAAGTTTTGTCTATGAAAACTTCAGCTCCCAAGAAAATCTTTATCTAGATGCATCTGCAAAAGTACTTCCTAGTGGATTATTGCAGCTGACAAGCGCTTCAACGTATCAAATCGGCCATGCTTTCTACAATAAACCACTTGAGCTCAATTCCTCTTTCTCCACCCATTTCGTGTGTGCTCTCGTGCCTAAGCCAGGCATTGAAGGCGGCCATGGTATTGCCTTCTTAGTATCTCCTTCAAGAGATTTCTCACACGCACACTCAGCAAGATACTTAGGGGTTTTCAACTCATCAACACTTGAATCATCTCCCTCTTCTCACGTTCTTGCTGTTGAGCTTGACACTATTTGGAACCCTGAGTTCAAAGACACCAAAAGCAACCACGTGGGGATTGATGTGAACAGTCCTGTTTCTGTAGGAGTAGCTTCAGCATCTTACTATTCAGACAAGAAAGGGAAAAACGAAAGCATGAACCTCTTGGGTGGAAAGCCTATACAAGTGTGGGTGGATTATGAAGGCACTATGCTCAATGTTTCCATTGCTCCACTTGCAGTCCAGAAGCCAAGTCGGCCTCTTTTGTCACAACACATCAATCTTAAAGAGATTTTTCCGAATAGATCTCAACTGTTTGTTGGGTTCTCTGCAGCAACAGGGAACGCGATCAGTGGTCACTATATCCTTTGGTGGAGTTTCAGTACAGACAGAGGATCACAGAAGCGACTTGATATATCAAAACTTGTTGAAGTTCCTCACTCTTCAGCTCCCCATAAGAATCTTCCTAAGCTGATTATCATTATGTTTGTTTGTCTAACTTTTGTAGTTTTGTCTCTTCTTGCATGAGTTTATTTTTTTGCTAGTAAGTGTTGAAATCTGATTCAAACATGAGAATAAATTGGTAATGAATGGGAATATGTAACTAAAATTGTAGTTACTATTTCTAATTTATTGCTTAGTAATTTGCGATTTTAATTTCTGCTTAGTTATACTTCCTCCGTTTCATTTTATTTGTCATTTTAAATTTTTGCACACAGATTAAACAAACATTAAATTTTACATATTTTCCATATAAAAATATCATTACCAATAAAATTAACTACATTTCAACCAGTAGAAAAATAGAATAACATATATAAAATTAATAAGTTTTGTCTTGAAAACATTAAACGACACTTATTTTGAAACAAAAAAATCTTCTACAATGACAAATAAATTGAAACGAATGGAGTATAAATTAAATCATTGGTATGTGAATAGGTGCAGTTATGTTTTCTTTCTTCTATAAGTTCATGTATTGTGTTTCAGTTCTAAGTACTATTCAGAAAATAATATTTTTGATTTAATTCTATTTTCTGTGAAATTCTCTAGACCTTAAAACCTATAATTTCAAACACAAACTTATTATGTTCTCAGATAGATGAAAACCGGTTCAAGCATTTGTTTGATGGCACTATATCTGGTTCGGTTATAATAATTGTCAGAGAATTGTATTATTGAGAAAATGTTAAACAACATTTGCATTTCTGTGTATTGTTCAACAACCGACGATTTTTGTATTTTTGGAAATGGACAAGCAAGATCTTAGGTCTCTGTTCAATGTCTCTATAGACAGCCACAATGCGCTGTGGATCAAGAAACTTCTTAAACATAGGTTATCCAGGTGCTTAACCTATTGCAAGATGATTTTTCTTTCACATGAGGGTTTGGTTTTTAAGCTACTTTCATCGTTGTAGAGAACATTCGTAGCTGTCTTGACTTCACCAGGATCTTCTAAGCCTTGTTCCTTTTAGCCTCGAAAAGACATTGCTTTCAGTTTCCGCATGAGGGAGCGACCAAAGGAATATTTAAAGTACGGTCATCAGAATATTTTGGGGTCAACACATATAAAAGCTAGCTCCAAGTTGAACAAGTATAGTTTTAATCTTTTGTTTGACCTGTTATTACCGATTACTCACATGCAGCGTTGCGTAGTTTCACTGGGTTGAACTTGAGTAATTTGTGTTAAAAATAGTCTCAACTGAAGCTTTATTAGTTTATACTTTATATTATATACTTACTGTTTCCTTATTTATTGCTTAGTGATTTGCGGTTTTAATTTCTACTTAATTGTATGAAATATTATGTTTTTTCTCTAAGTTCATGGAATATTTGGTTATAATGACTACAAAATTCTCAGATTATATAAATCCTCAAAGTATGTCTCTCACTCTTACCAAATACTACTGGAATGAGATATGTGCTCAGGCATTACGCCTCAATATGTTTTGTTACAAAAGAAATGGTATTTGTAAGAAAGCTGGTTCGTTTATAATATTTATCAGAAAATTATGTTATTAATTAAGAAAATTGTAACATCCCGAATTGTGATATATGGAAAAGCTTAAGAGGATTTGATTTGACTACCTTTATCATCAAAGTACACTTATCTTTTCGGGAGCTAACACAATTCTAGTCTAAGACATATTCCTTATGTTTTATTTTATTTGATGCTTAAGGTTTTGATACATTAAATTTTTTTAAAAATAATTAAATTAATCTTTTCTACATCAAAATAGCATTATTAAAAACAAACTCAACCAATAAAAATCACATTGCAGACTATAAATAGTCACAAAACTAAATTATTTTTATTTTACATTAGAACATTGTAAACATCATTTAAACTGAAAAAAAGCTGAAAACATCATTTATACTGAAATATATAAATATTGAAACAGAGAGAGAGCATAAGTTCCGTTTTTTTACCGTTTCTAGGTACACCCACATGCAGCTAGGGGTGGACGTAAGGCGAGTACTTGCTATTTTGCATGTACTTGCGACTTGACTTGTCTTGTACGGATAATAAAAATTTTGACTTGTACTTGACTTGTTTAAAACGAGTACTTGCTATTTCGAGTATTTGATCAAAAATAAATGACTTGCAAGTTACTTGTCTTTCTCTATTACTTACTCTTTACGAGTACTTGTGAACTATTTTCAGGATTTTTGGAAATATTTCAGAACTACTAACTAAATAATATTCGGTTAGAAATAAACATGAAAGTTTGTTTTGTTTATTCTACTTAAAGTAACATGTAAATTACTTTAAACAAAATATTTGTTCATATTATAAAAAAGACAAATAAAAAATGCATATTATGATATATATAAACATTGTAACGCTCACGATAACAAGAATGTTTTCTCTAAATAAGTAACAAAAAATAAAAAGATACTTGGGGGCTTTCAACTCATCATCACTTGAATCATCTCCCTCTTCTCACGTTCTTGCTGTTGAGCTTGACACTATATGGAACCCTGAGTTCAATGATGTCATTAACAATCACGTGGGGATTGATGTGAACAGTCCTATATCTGTGGGAGTAGCTTCAGCATCTTACTATTCAGACACAAAAGGGAAAAACGAAAGCTTGAACCTGTTGAGTGGAAAGCCTATACAAGTGTGGGTGGATTATGAAGGCAATATGCTCAATGTTTCCATAGCTCCACTTCAAGTCCAGAAGCCAAGTCGGTCTCTTCTGTCACAACACATCAATCTTACAGAAGTGTTTACAAATAGTTCAAGACTGTTTGTTGGATTCTCTGCAGCAACAGGTGCAGCGGTCAGTGATCAATACATTGTTGGGTGGAGTTTCAGTACAGACAGAGGATCACTGCAGAGACTTGATATCTCAAAACTTGTTGAAGTTCCTCATTCTTCAGCTTCTCATAAGAATCTTCCTACTCTGGTTATTGTTCTGCTTGTTTGTCTAACTTTTATGGTTTTGTCTCTTCTTGCATGAGTTTATTTTTGAGAATAAATTGGTAATGAATGGGAATATGTAACCAGTATTGTAGTTACTATTCCTTATTTATTGCTTAGTGATTTGATTGTATTGATTAAATAATTAGTATGTGAGTTAATAAGTGCAATTATGTTGTTGTTTTTTTCTTCTACAAGTTCATGTATTGTGTTTCAGTTCTAATCATCATAGAATTACAAATCAAAGATTATTCAATGGCACAAGCATTTGTTTGATGAAACGAAACCGGTTTTTTATTGACAACAAAAGACTTATGGTTGCTGAAGGAATAACCTGTGCTCTCTGTTACCTGCATAAAGGTGCTACTCACGTTGTTCTGCACCGAGATGTCAAAGCTTCCAACATTATGTTGCTTTTTCCTTCTAGGTTTTGGTTAATGCCTATAAAATTCTCAAAGCACCTCTCTATCTCTTACCAAATACTGGAATAAGATATTTGCTCAGACATTACTCCTCAATATGATTTTCAGATAAGAAATGGATGTCTGTTAGGAAGTTGATTGGTTCATGATATTTGTCAGAGAACTGTATTATTTGAGAAAATTTTAAGCAAACATTTGCATTTGTGTGTATTGTTCAACAACCGGCAATTTCAGGATTTTTGGAAAATGGACAAGGAAGATCTTAGGTCTCAGTTCAATGTCTCTGGACACAGCCACAATGCGCTGGATCTAGTGGCCTCAAGTAAGTTGTGAGTGCAACAGAGTCAAGGAGAAGGAAACTACTTAAACAATGGTTAGGTATCTAAACAGTAGCCTCTCATCTGAATTCCATATTACATTGATGAGTTTTCTCCTAGATACAAGTTTCTTCAGCAACACGGATGCCACTAAACAAAATAGCTCGTTGTTTTTCTTTTATAGTGTTATCTTTTGGGATTCTTATACCACTGTAACAGTAATATGATTTGTTAGTTCCGCAGATCCTAATCTAAATTTAGTTATAATCATCGCTTCAGAGAACATTTGTAGCTGTCTTGAATTTTCTAGGATCTCGTAGGCTTGTTCCTTCTAGTCTAGAACTGGAAGACATTGCTTTGGATTTTTGCATTAAGAAAGACCAACGGAATAATTAAAGTACAGTAGGTCTTTAGGATCTTTTAGGGACAAACACATATAAAAACTAGCTCCAAGTTGAACAAGTAGAAGTAACATATAGGTTATAGTAGTTTTTGTTTGACCCGTTATTACCGATTACTCACATGCAGTGTTGCGTAGCTTCACTGGGTTGAACTTGAGTCATGTGTGTTAAAATATTGTCTCAACCGAAGCTTTATTATTAGTTTAATAGTTTATATTATAGCATTATTGAAGACCAGTTTGTAAAGGGGAAAAGAAAGACGGTGATGCTAATATTCCCTTTGGATATAAACAAAGAATACTTTACACTTACATCATCACTAAAACACAAAGCTCATATCTCTCTTTGTTCCTTCAGCTTGCAAAGGTTATGTTCTTCAACACAGATCCAGACTCTCTCTTATTCATCATCATCAGCAATGACTTGTAGTTTGCTTCAGATCCTGCTGATCTCTTCTTTTCATCTCATTTGTCTATCAGCTCAACAAGAGATCAAGTTTCTCTACGACAACTTCCACAAGCAAGAAAATCTTTACCTTGATGGATCTGCAACAGTTCTTGACAATGGATTATTGCAGCTTACAAACGCTGGAGATCATGAAATGGGTCATGTTTTCTACAAGAGTCCAGTTAAGCTCAGTCCTTATAAACCACTCTCTTTCTCAACACACTTCGTCTGTGCTCTGGTGCCTAAGCCAGGGTGTAGGAGATGGGTTATCCCCCTCCACAAGGCCCATCAAATGAGGAAAACTTAGCCCAGTCTGACAATATACTCGGCCCACCGGGTGACACCGAAACGACTCGGTATGAGACGCGTTTAGTAGCGCGACTAAATGTGTTCTAGAAGAGTCGGCGGAAGTACGATTTACCCGAACTACTAAACGGGCCTAGCGGTAATAA